ACAATTCTGATTTCCAAAGGCGGAAGTTGGGAGAGTTTTTGTTCGGGTGGTTCAGTGAAACAATTTTAGTTTCCGAGCTAGAAGATTTGGTGAGGGAGGCCCTGCTCTCTCCACTCCCAGATGCTTAGCCCATTTCATTCCGATCTCCTCTGCATTTTTGTAGCCATTTGCTACAGCCTGTCAACTATGCCTCTGCCTATCCCTGTTCTCTCCTCTCTGCACAGGCTACACAAACGCACCACACCGCGTGGCTGCTGCCTCTCCAATTTGGTGGTCCCTGCACGCACCACCCACGTGGAGTTCCAGGTCGCAGGCAGCCTCTGGAACTGCCGTTCTGCTGCCAACAAAGCTGACTTCATCCCAGCCTATGCCAACCTCCAGTCCCTCGACTTCCTGGCGCTGACGGAAACATGGATCACCACTGAAAACACCGCTACTCCTACTGCTCTCTCCTCGTCTGACCATGTGTTCTCGCATACCCCGAGAGCATCTGGTCAGAGGGGTGGTGGTACAGGAATCCTCATCTCTCCCAAGTGGACATTCTCAATTTTTCCCCTAACCCATCTGTCTATCTCCTCATTTGAATTCCATGCTGTCACAGTCACTAGCCCATTTAAGCTTAATATCCTTGTCATCTATCGCCCTCCAGGTTCCCTTGGAGAGTTCATCAATGAGCTTGACGCCTTGATAAGTTCCTTCCCTGAGGATGGCTCACCCCTCACAGTTTTGGGGGATTTCAACCTCCCTATGTCCACATTTGACTCATTTCTCTCTGCCTCCTTCTTTCCACTCCTCTCCTCTTTTGACCTCACCCTCTCACCGTCCCCCCCCTACTCACAAGGCAGGCAATACGCTTGACCTCATCTTCACTAGATGCTGCTCCTCTACTAATCTCACTGCAACTCCCCTCCAAGTCTCCGACCACTACTTTGTTTCCTTTTCTCTCTCACTCTCCTCCCACACTACTCACTCTGCCCCTACACAGATGGTAATGCGCCGCCGCAACCTTCGCTCTCTCTCTCCCACTACTCTCTCCTCTTCCATCCTATCATCTCTTCCCTCTGCTCAATCCTTCTCCCTCCAATCTCCTGATTCTGCCTCCTCAACCCTCCTCTCCTCCCTTTCTGCATCCTTTGACTCTCTGTGTCCCCTATCCTCACGGCCGGCTCGGTCCTCCCCTCCAGCTCCGTGGCTTGATGACTCATTGCGAGCTCACAGAACAGAGCTCCGGGCAGCGGAGCGGAAATGGAAGAAAACTAAATTCCCTGCCGACCTGGCATCTTTTCACTCCCTCCTCTCTACATTTTCTTCATCTGTTTCTGCTGCTAAGGCCACCTTCTACCACTCTAAATTCCAAGCATCTGCCTCTAACCCTAGGAAGCTCTTTGCCACATTTTCCTCCCTCCTGAATCCTCCCCCCCCCCCTCCCCCCCCTCCTCTCTCTCTGTGGATGACTTCGTCAACCACTTTGAAAAGAAGGTTGACGACATCCGATCCTTGTTTGTTAAGCCTAATGACACTGCTGGTCCTGCTCACACTGCCCTACCCTATGCTTTGACTTCTTTCTCCCCTCTCTCTCCAGATAAGATCCTGCGACTTGTGACTGCAGGCCGCCCAACAACCTGCCCGCTTGACCCCATCCCCTCCTCCCTTCTCCAGACCATCTCCGGTGACCTTCTCCCCTACCTCACCTCGCTGATCAACTCATCCTTGACCGCTGGCCATGTCCCTTCCGTCTTCAAGAGAGCGAGAGTTACTCCCCTTCTCAAAAAACCAACACTCGACCCCACTGATGTCAACAACTACAGACCAGTATCCCTTCTTTCTTTTCTTTCCAAAACTATTGAGCGTGCCGTCTTTAGCCAACTCTCTTGCTATCTCTCTCAGAATGACCTTCTTGATCCAAACCAATCAGGTTTCAGGACTGGTCATTCAACTGAGACTGCTCTTCTCTGTGTCACAGAGACTCTCCGCACTGCTAAAGCTAACTCTCTCTCCTCTGCTCTTGTCCTTCTAGATCTGTCTGCTGCCTTTGATACTGTGAACCATCAGATCCTCCTCTCCACCCTCTCCGAAATGGGCATCTCCGGCGCGGCTCACTCCTGGATTGCGTCCTACCTGACCGGTCGCTCCTACCAAGTGGCGTGGCGGGAAGCTGTCTCTGCACCACGTGCTCTCACCACTGGTGTCCCCCAGGGATCGGTTTTGGGCCCTCTCCTTTTCTCCCTATACACCAAGTCACTTGGCTCTGTCATATCCTCACATGGCCTTTCCTATCATTGCTACGCTGACGATACACAACTAATCTTCTCCTTTCCCCCTTCTGATCACCAGGTGGCGAATCGCATCTCTGCATGTCTGGCAGACATATCAGTATGGATGACGGATCACCACCTCAAGCTGAACCCTGGCAAGACGGAGCTGCTCTTCCTCCCCGGGAAGGACTGCCCGTTCCATGATCTCGCCATCACGGTAGACAACTCCGCTGTGTCCTCCTCCCAGAGTGCGAAGAGCCTAGGCGTGACCCTGGACAACACCCTGTCGTTCTCCGCCAACATCAAGGCGGTGACCCGCTCCTGCAGGTTCATGCTCTACAACATTCGGAGAGTGCGACCCTGCCTTACACAGGAAGCGGCGCAGGTCCTGGTCCAGGCACTTGTCATCTCCCGTCTGGACTACTGCAACTCGCTGTTGGCTGGGCTCCCTGCCTGTGCCATTAAACCCCTACAACTCATCCAGAATGCCGCAGCCCGTCTGGTGTTCAACCTTCCCAAGTTCTCTCACGTCACCCCCCTCCTCCGCACACTCCACTGGCTTCCAATTGAAGCTCGCATCCGCTACAAGACCATGGTGCTTGCCTTTGGAGCAGTGAGGGGAACGGCACCCCTGTACCATCAGGCTCTGATCAGTCCCTACACCCAAACGAGGACATTGCGTTCATCCACCTCTGGCCTGCTGGCTCCCCTTCCTCTGCGGAAGCACAGCTCCCCCTCAGCCCAGTCAAAACTGTTCGCTGCTCTGGCACCCCAATGGTGGAACAAGCTCCCTCACGACGCCAGGACAGCGGAGTCACTCACCACCTTCCGGAGACATTTGAAACCCCACCTCTTTAAGGAATACCTGGGATAGGCTAAAGTATTCCTTCTAACCCCCCCCCCCCCCCAAATTGTAAAGTGGTTATCCCACTGGCTATAGGGTGAACGCACCAATTTGTGAGTCGCTCTGGCTAAGAGCGTCTGCTAAATGACGTTAATGTGCCCTTGAGCAAGGCACTTAACCCTAATTGCTCCTGTAAGTCGCTCTGGTTAAGAGCGTCTGCTAAATGACTAAAATGTAAAAATGTAATGTCAGAGCAAAAACCAAGCCATGAGGTCGAAGGAATTGTCCGTAGAGCTCCAAGACAGGATTGTGTTGAGGCACAGATCTGGGGAAGGGTAACAAAACATTTCTGCAGGATTGAAGGTCCCCATTCTTAAATGGAAGAAGTTTGGAACCACCAAGACTCTTCCTAGAGCTGGCCGCCTGGCCAAAACGAAGCAATCGAGGGAGAAGGCCTTGGTCAGGGAGGTGACCAAGAACCCGATGGTCACTCTGACAGAGCTCCAGAGTTCCTCTGTGGAGATGGGAGATCCTTCCAGAAGGACAACCATCTCTGCAGCACTCCACCAATCAGGCCTTTATGGTAGAGTGGCCAGACGGAAGCCACTCCTCAGTAAAAGGCACATGACAGCCCACTTGGAGTTTGCCAAAAGGCATCTAAATGACTCTCAAACCATGAAAAACAAGGTTCTCTGGTCTGATGAAACCAAGATTGAGCTCTTTGGCCTGGATGACAAGCGTCACGTCTGGAGGAAACTTGGCACCATCCCTACGGTGAAGTATGGTGGTGGCAGCATCATGCTGGGAGACTTTCATCAGATCATTGATGAAAACCTGCTCCAGAGCGCTCAGGACCTCAGACTGGGGCAAAGGTTCACCTTCCAACAGGATAATGACCCAAAGCACACAGCCAAGACAACGCAGGAGTGGCTTCATGACAAGTCTCTGAATGTCCTTGAGTGGCCCAGCCAGATCCCGGACTTGAACCCGTTCGAACATCTCTGGAGAGACCTGAAAATAGCTGTGCAGGGACGCTCCCCATACAACCCGACAGAGCTTGAGAGTATCTGCAGAGAAGAATTGGAGAAACTCACCAAATACCAAACTTGTAGCATCATACCCAAGAAGACGCAAGGCTGTAATCGCTACCAAAGCTGCTTCAACAAAGTACTGAGTAAAGGGTCTGAATACTTATGTAAATGTAAATGTTTCATGTATATTTTTTTATACATTAGCAAACATTAAAAATATATATGTTTTTGCTTTGTCATTGTGGGATTTGTGTGCAGGCTATACTCCTGTTGAAAAGAGAAGCAATGTGTTCAATATTAGGAAAGTTGAGAAATAAATATAGTCGGCCTAGCCTATAGAAAGCTGATGGGATCCTCCTCTTTTTAGTAGAGGCAATCACTCTGTTTTCTCATGCAATTGCAAAGCCTATAGAAATGTTGCACAACATAAGCTCATGTGCTCTCATTAAGTGTTTGATTAGATTTTCGAGGACATTTGCATTGATGTCAGAGTGATTAGAGGGACAATAGAGTGCTGAGTACCAGGCAGTTAGCAAGTTTGGTAGGCTACTAATGACCATCATCAGCTTGGAGACGCCTAATTACCATGACTAAACGGTCACGTGGAATTTGACTGCCGTCTATCCTCACAACCTCCCCTGCCAGGACACTGATGAGGCCGTCTGGGGCCAGAGAGGGCCTGCATGTTAACCTCCCCCCACCAGGGGCGATCCCTCTGGAGCTCACATCATCTGCTATTATCCTCCTCACCCTGCCTCACCCCTCCTCACTCCCCCTAATCCCCCCGGAGCTCTAATTCTTCGGTAGTGGGCATAGCAACCATTGATCTAAAGCCCTTATTTATTCAATCAAGCCTCAGTTCATAGACATCTACTCTTCTTCTTCTTCTTCTCTGTTCTGTGAAGAGCGAGGGGTTGGGCGAGAATGGGCTGAGGCGACAGAGCTCATTTTCCTCTGCCCCTGTCGGGTTTGGACAGCGATGGGTAAAGGCTAGCAATGACGGCCCTATCAATAAGTCAGTCCATCTGCTCTACCACATCCGCTCGCTGCTCTTTGAAAATGTCTGCCGCTGCCCCTGAGTCATGGAGAGAGCGAGAGAGCGAAAGAGAGAGAGAGAGAGCGAAAGAGAGAGAGAGGGAGAGAGCGAGAGAGCATGACAGCAAAGGCAAACGTAATGAAATGAACAAAGACAAAGATATTAATAAAGGAATACTCAACCCTGCTCAACTACTGGGTGGTCCTCTGTATCTCAGCTGGTAGAGCACGGCGCTTGTAACGCCAAGGTAGTGGGTTCGATCCCCGGGACCACCCATACACAAAAAAATAAAATGTATGCACGCATGACTGTAAGTCGCTTTGGATAAAAGCGTCTGCTAAATGGCATATTATTATATTATTACTCAACAATCACAGTTGATCTTTTCTGATCTGCCGTGAGAACACATACAATACCAGTCAAAGTTTTAGAACACCTACTCATTCAAGGGTTTTTCTTTATATTTACTATTTTCTACATTGTAGAATAATAGTGAAGACATCAACACTATGAAATAACACATATGGAATCATGTAGTAACCAAAAAAGTGTTAAACAAATCAAAACATATTTTATGTTTAAAACTTTTTTGGTTATTCTACAATGTAGAAAATAGTACAAATAAAGAAAAACCCTTGAATGTGTAGGTGTTCTAAAACTTTTGACCGGTAGTGTAGTTTTGATGGAAACATCATAAAATCTCACATTCTGTAATTAAAAGTGGTTTTAAGCATAAGGCACAGTCAATTAATTCTTATAAAACACACATGCCCCTCCCACAATATACCAATAAAAGAGACGTGGTGCTTGATTCACCACTGACATTAAACATTACAAAGCAAACATCAACAAGACAAACCTGATCTTCTCCATGTTGATTTATATGGCTGTATCCTGTGTGTGTGGGAAATGTCCCCTCTCTCTCTCCTCTCTGACAGCAGCATGCCTACAGTAATGTACCACATTACTGAAGTTCTGATTTAGAACTCCACTGTAGTGTATGCGGCCCTGGATGATACGTTTATGGTGACACAGACTCGCGCATGTATGTATGTATGTATGTATGTATGTATGTATGTAGGCACGCACACACACTTACTGTGGTGTGTGTGACTGTGAGGAAATTACCAGTTCCTCTCCTCTCTTCACTATACTTTATTTAAAATAACTCTCAGTGGTGGATCCCAGTCCTCATAAACAGAATTTTATGATTATTGAGATCCATGAAAGCTCCACTCTCTCTCTGTCTGTGTGTGTGTGTGTGTGTGTGTGTGTGTGTGTGTGTGTCCGTGCATGTGTGTGGCAGAGCACCTGAACGCTAATGTGAAAAGGAGAGTAATGAAGTGGCTGTGCGTAAGCTAGCACTCTCCCATCTACACTACACACACACACACTTAGGGAAGTTCTCAGGAGAAAGGGATAGAGAGACAGAGAAAGAGAGAGAAAGGGAGGGAGGGAGGGAGGGAGGGAGGGGGAGAGAGAGGGAGGGAGGGGAGAGAGAGAGAGAGAGAGAGAGAGAAGAGAGAGAGAGAGAGAGAGAGAGAGAGAGAGAGAGAGAGAGAGAGAGAGAGAGAGAGAGAGAGAGAGAGAGAAAGTATTGTGTCTCTATGATGGGATTCTTAATAAAGTCATGGTTGAGGAGTGAAGAGAAGAGAAAGTGTAACCATCATCCCTTTTTGGGGTTTTAGGTATAAATAAGACTGAATGAATGCTTAACCCATGACATTATTCCTCTGGCTGACCAGTTATGATTCTAGGGTGAACAGGAGAAGTTCATCCAGGTGCCAGGATGCCATGGCGTGCCATGGGGTAGAGACAGGGTTAACTCAGAGGCAGACTGAGTTTCATATAGGGATAAAGCAGAGGCCTCCTGTACGCTATAGTGTAGTTAGGGTGAAAGCTAAGCCCCGTTGTCCTATTACCATGGGATATAGTTAGGGTAAACACAGAGACAGATTGAGTGCTATAGGGTAAAGTTAGGGTTAAAGCCTAAACCCTGGTGTCGGCCAGGCCACTCAGATGACAGGGAGACTGTCAGACCTGCTGAATGGAGGGTGAAGGAGGGCAGGACACTATCCTTACTATCCCCACCATCTGTTGCCAGACAGGGAAAGTCACCCCAGAACTGCTTTCACAAAAGTCTGTGTGTGTGTGTGTGTGTGTGTCTGTGTGTGTGTATTTGCGTGCATGTGTGGTATCCATGTGTGGGTCTGAGAGATTATATGTATCCAGTGTCAAATAGGAAAGTGGTAGACAAACCAACCCCTGGAGAATGTCTGTGTTAATGTGACTTGGAGGAAGGGCAAGACCAGGCCAGTCCATATCTCTTGCGTCCCAAAATGGCACCCTATTCCCTATATAGTGCACTACTTTTGACCAGGGTCCAACGGGTACTGGTGAAAAGTAGTACACTATGTTGGGAATAGGGACAGCTCAAATACGTCTGAAGCCTACTATGGGCTACTCCCATATCAGAGGTGTGAAACGTAGGGTAGGGGTAGCGATGTTGTGGACAAGTGATTGGTGATGTGAGTAAATTTGATAGACGTTCACTTACCACTTCTCTAGGTAGATAGGAGTCCTCTTGGCGTACGACTAGCAGACTAACTGTTCCTCCCATGGGGGTGACCCTGAGTAGAGCTACCACCTCCTCCTGAGTCCTCCCATTCAGGTCTACCCCATTCACCTGGACACACACACACACACACACACACACACACACACACACACACACACACACACACACACACACACACACACACACACACACACACACACACACACACACACACACACACACACACACACACACACACACACACACAAACACACATACAAACAGGTAGAGATAGGGGATTTATTAATACAAGTTACTGCCTTGTGTTACATGTGCTACTGCCTTGTACTGTCTTGAAACAATTACTAATTCCATTCTACACATAATCATTCTCTGTTTGCGTAGAGGAACAGTGACTGCCTGACATTAATAAATATGGGGTATTTCTAAGAGCGGACATTTTCCAATTACATAGTCTATGATTTTCATGTCATTCTGATTGGACTGTTGACACAAGATTATTACGTTCAGTTCCCTATGTTTAGCCACTCAGAGCCCAATGTAAACAGCCCTACAGGTACTCTACTCTGTGATTTAAAGGGATACTTCAGAATTTTGGCAACGAGGCCCTTTATCTACTTCCCCAGAGTCAGATGAACTCGTGGATACCATTTTTATGTCTCTCTGTCCAGTATGAAGGAAGTTAGAGGTAGTTTTGCGAGCCAATGCTAACTAGTGTTAGCACAATGACTAGAAGTCTATGGTTATCTGCTAGCATGCTAGCAGATATCCATAGACTTTCAGTCATTGCACTAATGCAAGTTCGCAATTGTGCTAGTGCTAGTTAGCAACTTCCTTCAAACTGCACGAAGAGACAACTTTTTTATCCACGAGTTCATCTGACTCTGGGGAAGTAGATAAAGGGCCTCATTGCCAAAATCCCGAAGTATCCCTTTAAGACTCATTTCAATGGCAAAGCCCATTCAATCAGCCTTTGTGTCTTAAGCATACTGGGTAATGACATTGGAGTAGATGCAACGATCATGAATGACATTGGACATAAAGGCTTGAAGGTGTTTTACTCCATATGACATAAAACAATGTTGATTGGATGTCTCTCAGAACAAAATTCTAAATCCATGGAAGGAAGAGGAGGAAGAAAGGGTTGGAGCATGACAAGGCTAATGAAGAGGAAGGGATACAGTAGGAGGAAGAGGAGGAAGAAGGAAGATACTTTTTTGTGTGTTTTTTTTTATATGTATTTTTAAATCTATTTTAATATAAAGTGGGGAGAACAAGTATTTGATACACTGCCAATTTTGTAGGTTTTCCTACTTACAAAGCATGTAGAGGTCTGTAATTTTTATCATAGGTACACTTCAACTGTGAGAGGCGGAATCTAAAACAAAAATCCAGAAAATCACATTGTATGATTTTTAAGTAATTAATTTTCCATTTTATTGCATGACATAAGTATTTGATACATCAGAAAAGCAGAACTTAATATTTGGTACAGAAACCTTTGTTTGCAATTACAAAGATCATACGTTTCCTGTAGGTCTTGACCAGGTTTGCAAACACTGCAGCAGGGATTTTGGCCCACTCCTCCATACAGACCTTCTCCAGATCCTTCAGGTTTCGGGGCTGTCGCTGGGCAATACGGACGTTCAGCTCCCTCCAAAGATTTTCTATTGGGTTCAGGTCTGGAGACTGGCTAGGCCACTCCAGGACTTTGAGATGCTTCTTACGGAGCCACTCCTTAGTTGCCCTGGCTGTGTGTTTCGGGTTGTTGTCATGCTGGAAGACCCAGCCACGACCCATCTTCAATGCTCTTACTGAGGGAAGGAGGTTGTTGGCCAAGATCTTGCGATACATGGCCCCATCCATCCTCCCCTCAATACGGTGCAGTCGTCCTGTCCCCTTTGCAGAAAAGTATCCCCAAAGAATGATGTTTCCACCTCCATGCTTCACGGTTGGGATGGTGTTCTTGGGGTTGTACTCATCCTTCTTCTTCCTCGAAACACGGCGAGTGGAGTTTAGACCAAAAAGCTCTATTTTTGTCTCATCAGACCACATGACCTTCTCCCATTCCTCCTCTGGATCATCCAGATGGTCATTGGCAAACTTCAGACGGGCCTGGACATGCGCTGGCTTGAGCAGGGGGACCTTGCGTGCGCTGCAGGATTTTAATCCATGACGGCATAGTGTGTTACTAATGGTTTTCTTTGAGACTGTGGTCCCAGCTCTCTTCAGGTCATTGACCAGGTCCTGCCGTGTAGTTCTGGGCTGATCCCTCACCTTCCTCATGATCATTGATGCCCCACGAGGTGAGATCTTGCATGGAGCCCCAGACCGAGGGTGATTGACCGTCATCTTGAACTTCTTCCATTTTCTAATAAGTGTGCCAACAGTTGTTGCCTTCTCACCAAGCTGCCTGCCTATTGTCCTGTAGCCCATCCCAGCCTTGTGCAGGTCTACAATTTTATCCCTGACAGCTCTCTGGTCTTGGCCATTGTGGAGAGGTTGGAGTCTGTTTGATTGAGTGTGTGGACAGGTGTCTTTTATACAGGTAACGAGTTCAAACAGGTGCAGTTAATACAGGTAACGAGTGGAGAACAGGAGGGCTTCTTAAAGAAAAAATAACAGGTCTGTGAGAGCCGGAATTCTTACTGGTTGGTAGGTGATCAAATACTTATGTCATGCAATAAAATGCAAATGCATTACTTAAAAATCATTCAATGTGATTTTCCGGATTTTTGTTTTAGATTCCGTCTCTCACAGTTGAAGTGTACCTATGATAAAAATTACAGACCTCTACATGCTTGGTAAGTAGGAAAACCTGCAAAATCGGCAGTGTATGAAATACTTGTTCTCCCCACTGTATATACCATATATCTCCAACTGTGCTCCTTCACAAAAGCTCTCAACCTATAACCTATATACTTATTATGGACACAGCATGCCCTACATTAGCTATCTTGCTGTTATTAGTTGTTGTTAGTTGTTATTAGTCCCATCCTTCAGCTCCATTCAACACCCCCCATCTATCTCTTAACACCATCCATATTGGATTTCTATTTGCCATATATTTTTCAACCATACTGTGATGTTTCACCAAAGTTCTGAAAGAAGAGACTTCATGAACTCCGCCTCTCACCTCCTGCAGCCGGTCGCCAGCCTTCAGGCGGCCATCTTGGATGGCAGCGCCCCGAGCCAGGATGTTCTTGACATAGATGGGGGCAGAGCCTCCTATGGGGACGTCACGTGACGTGATACTGAATCCAAGACCCTCAGGACCTGCAGGAGGAAAATAATACACCAAACATTAACTGATTGCAGGACTGTAGGACATAGTTTTTATGCTCCCTCTTATTATCTAAATGTGCATCAGGAACCAAATGTGGAAGGACAACTTTATTTATGGCTTTGACCATCATGTCAAACCTATCAAACTACAGTACTTAATAAGTAATCTCAAACGTATTGGTTTGCATGGACGGTCTTCTATTGGTGAAAGAATGGGCGGGCAGCTTAGGTTGTGGTTCAACATACAAAATAAGCATTAAATCTCCAAAGTGTCTAAATATAAGTCAAATCTATTAACCAAAATTGGGTGTTTGTGATAAATGTGTACTTTATACGTGTGTGTATGGACAACGGAACCACAGATGTGACTTGCTTGAATGTAAAACTGGTTGCAGACAAGAATAGCAGCATGCAGAGTAAAGGCTTTATTCTCCCTCTCTGTGGAGTGTCCACAGGCATTAGAAACAGATAATGGTCAGCAATGGGGTGAAGGGATTTCCCTGCCTTCGCCCATAACTCAGAGTTAGATGCTTTTGATACACCACATATCAGATCAAATAAAGTTTGCTAGTGAAAACATCACTAAATCTTAGAAAACAATGTTAAGGGTTCAGGCATCATAGTTCTGCAAAGATGTTTCCTCCCAAGTTCTGACAATGACCTTTATAGGGTTCTAAATGACTCTGTCTGCGTCCTAAATGGCTCCATATTCCCTATGTAATGTATTACTTTTGATCAGAGCCCTATAGGACCTGGTCAAAAAATGTGCACTATGTAGGGTATATGGTACCATTTGGGACGCATCATATCAATTGCCAGACGGGGAAGGCAGGGAAATTCAATAATAGCTTACAAAAGAGGAATATCAACACTGACCTTATCGACCGACCAATCCTACACTGTCTGCCCAATAAAGGATTGGTCAAAAGTAGTGCACTATAAAGGGAATAGGGTGTCATTTAGGAAGCAACCAAAATCATTGCCAAATGCCAGTAAGGAAATGAAGGACATTTCTACTTTTAGATGGGGAAGCATTAACAACAATGGTTCCACTCAGTGAGTCAGTGAGATGAGTCCCTCCATGGTAAACAAGTTATTAATTAATATGTGTAACCGGCAGGGTGGCGGGTGTGTTGTTAGTTGAAGCCTTCCTGACAGTAGAGTGATTAGTATTCTTGTTGAAGAGATTGTTCATTTTACTGGCCTGTCATTCACTGTCTGATCACGCATCATGACCTATTTTCTCCTGTCTTCAGTGTCTCGCTGGTTGATACTGACTGACTGACTGTGTGTGTGTGTGTGTGTGTGTGTGTGTGTGTGTGTGCATATGGGTGTTGTTTTTGCTTCACTAGCACTAAGATGAAGCAGCAAGAAAACACAGTGAACAGCAACTTCTATATTCAGGAATGAAGATATAGATCTAGGAACTAAGAGCGGTACACACCACAACAAGAGAATGTTGCTGACAGAGAGGTGTCAACAAAGTTGTTGAATATACTGAGGTTATTTTCTTCCTGCCAACACACCAGAATAAGGATTTATGAAACTATATTGACTATGCTTTTGACTTATTATAGAGTTCTGAAAACGCAGTGGATAGATAGGCACATCCCAGTTAGACTAATTAAGATCCTTTCTGCACTAGTAGCCGGTGTCTGCTAATGTGACAGCTGCCCATACTGCTGTCTGGGATCCTCAGTGTGTACGTACAGTAGTGGAATTTGTTGCATCCAAAACGGCACTTTATTGCCTTTATAGAACCTAGGGTGTAGTCTGAATCAGCTGGTCTGTGACGACCTCTATCCTCTACCCTTTCTGTTCTGGCAATTCCATTCCATTCCATTTCTCCAATCACTCTACTTAGCCGAATCAAACTCCTCTACATTCTAAGATCCCAACGTTAAGGGCTTCCATTCAGGCAATTAGCAGAATGCATCTCTCTCTAATAGCACTGGCTGTAATTAACTAGCATACTAAAGTCTTTCTTTGGGGTAATAGAAGCTTTTTGGATTAACTCTATCAGTCCCGAGATCCCAGCAAAAATTGGCTTTTCATTTATCTGACTTTATCTGCATATCCAGCGCTTATATTTAGCCTCACAATTAAGTGTTTACCATTTTATTTTCAGGACAATTTGACATAAACAGTTGCATTCATGAGTTTTATTGACAAAGCAGAAACCTGATAACAAAAAATATTTCATGAATGCTGCAAGTACAAACATGGTTTGCTCACTGCGAAACGAATATACAACTAGTCAGTGACAACTGTGTGGAGTTTGTGACAGCAACTATGTGAGCTTATTACAGTATTATAGACACTATGTCCTGGCATTTCCAATGATCGTCTATGTAGAAGAACCCCTTACCTTCTAACGACTCTTGTGTAGCTTGTGAGTGGGATAGCGCAAATGTTACATGTGAGAGTCTCAGCTTTTCATAGATAGCTTTTAATAGTTTTTAGCTCAAACCATTCGGACTCTACAGACATTTTTGTATAAAAGACCAGGCCCCTTCGGGATCCGCCCTTGTCTCACAAACACCGCACTATCTCAGTCCCCGTTAGACTAATGGTTGGTATCTACGGATGCAGCTTATACGAATCAAATGGTACAATCCAGAAGTCTTTAGCTCAAACCCACAATGTTTAAAAGGGGTTAGAAGTTCAAAACGGGCCGGCGATACAGTGGGACTCATTGGGTTAAGTCTGAATCCCAGATCCGATAAGCCAATTATGTAGCAAACATGAAGAGACATAGAGAAGCACAGCAACAAATTAGAATGAGTCTTAATGGGCTGCGTCGGTCGTTTTGGCTGCATTATTTGATTAAGACACTTTTGTTAATTTCCCAGCCAGGAACACGCTCGGACTCTTGCCGGGTCTCTCTCTCTCTCCCCCTCTCTCCCTCCCTCCATCCCTATATGGAGGAATCAAGATAAACAAATCAATAAATAATGGACAAATTGGAAATGGTCTCTGAATATTCTGCAAATGGACAGTTAATATTGAATTTGGTAGGTTCCCTTACGGAAAAAACACGAATTCACGTGGAAAATCACATAATAATAATAATAATATGCCATTTAGCAGACGCTTTTATCCAAAGCGACTTACAGTCATGCGTGCATACATTTTTTTTTTTGTGTATGGGTGGTCCCGGGGATCGAACCCACTACCTTGGCGTTACAAGCGCCGTGCTCTACCAGCTGAGCTACAGAGGACCACATGATTTCAAAAGTGAAATTTCACGTGGACATTTCACATGTGAAAAATGTGATTTTCCAAATGTGAAACCATGTGGTTTTGGAACACTTCACATGTTAAGATATTTCATGTGAAGTTTGACATGTGGATATGAGATTACACATGAAATTTCACAGGTGATGCCCTGCAAACAAAAATATGTCATTAATATGTCCCCGGGGGCTGAGCTAGTGTGTTTTCAATTTACATATTTGACACACTTTGACATACATGATTACATTGTGTATGTTTATTTATACAGTAATTATTATTCAACATGTCCTCAACTGGGATTTTAACTCACAACCTCTTGGTTGACGGCATTACAATCTTCCTGCTACGCCACCACGTCTGTATCAACAACTGATTTCACTTGGATTCCTACACTTTGGACTTCAAAGTAAATCTCAGCTTTGTTAAAAATACGTTGAAGAAAAACTATTATATTTATCATAGTGATTCAGGAGTAACATTAAAACAGAATAATATGCTCCACCAACATTAGACAATTATACAGAAAACCCACAAATTGCTGAAATAAGTAAATTAAATGAAAGCTGACAGAATAGTCATATTAACTGATAACTAAAATAGCAGTGCAGACGGCAGTCCATTGCTAAGTACAAAGATGTATTATAGGTAATACATATGTAGGGGACTTCTGAAAATTCTGCAGACCTGGTGGCACAGCAGAAAGATCAGTGTACCCCAACAGTTCAAATCCCAGGTTGGGTAATTTTGAAGTCAGCACGAAATGATAATGTCAAACCTAATCATATTGATAAAATATGTTTACACTATTTTAGCTGAACAGTGTACCCCTTACCTTAACCCCCCCCTTCCATTTTTATTACATCCCTTAGAAAAACATGTGAAATATGCAGTTTCACATGTGGAATTCATATTTAAAATCAAATCCAATTAAATTGTATTTGTCACATGCGCAGAATACAACAGGTGTAGACCTTACAGTGAAATGCTTACTTACAAGCCCTTAACCAACAATATAGTTTAAAGAAAAATAAGTGTTAAGTAAACAATAGATAAATAAAATCAGTAAAATAGCAGTAAAAATAACAGTAGTGAGGCTACATACAGGGGGTACCGGTACAGAGTCAATGTGCGGGGCACCGGTTAGTCGAGGTAATTGAGGTAATATGTACATGTAGGTAGAGTTAAAGTGACTATGCATAGATGTAGCTCAATTGGTAGAGCATGGCGCTTGTAACGCCAGGGTAGTGGGTTCGATCCCCGGGACCACCCATACGTAAACATTTATGCACACATGACTCGTGTCTGAGTAAGTTGCTTTGGATAAAAGTGTCTGCTAAATGGCATATTATATTTATTATTATATAATAAACAGAGAGTAGCAGCAGTGTAAAAGATGGGGTGGGGGACAATGCAAATAGTCCGGGTAGCCATTTGATTAGCTGTTCAGGAGTCTTATGGCTTGGGGGTAGAAGCTGTTAAGAAGCCTTTTGGACCTAGACTTGGCGCTCCGGTACCACTTGCCGTGCGGTAGCAGAGAGAACAGTCTATGACTAGGGTGGCTGGAATCTTTGACAATTTTTAGGGCCTTCCTCTGACACCGCCTGGTATAGAGGTCCTAGATGGCAGGAAGTGATGCAGTTGCCATACCAGGAAGTGATGCAACATTACAGGATGCTCTCGATGGTGCAGCTGTAGAACTTTTTGAGGATCTGAGGACCCATGCCAAATCTTTTCAGCTCTCAACCTGCTCCACTACAGCCCCGTCGATGAGGATGGGGGAGTGCTCGGTCCTTATTTTCCTGTAGTCCACAATCATCTCATTTGTCGTGATAACGTTGAGGGACAGGTTGTTATCCTGGCACCACACGGCCAGGTCTCTGACCTCCTCCGTATAGGCTGTCTCATCGTTGTCGATGATCAGGACTACCACTTTTGTGTCGTCGGCAAACTTAATGATGGTGTTGGAGTTGTGCATGGCCATGCAGTCATGGGTGAACAGGGAGTACAGGAGGGTACTGAGCACGTACCCCTGAGGGGCCCCCATGTTGAGGATCTGGGTGGCAGATGTGTTGTTGCCTACCCTTACCACCTGGGGGCGGCCCGGCAGGAAGTCCAGGATCCAGTTGCAGAGGGAGCTGTTTAGTCCCAGGGTCCATAGCTTAGTGATGAGCCTTGAGGGCACTATGGTGTTGAACACTGAGCTGTAGTCAATGAATAATAGCATTGTCACGTAAAGTGTTCCTTTTGTTCAGGTGGAAAAGGGCAGGGTGGAGTGCAACAGAGATTGCATCATCTGTGGATCTGTTGGGGCGGTATGCAGATTGGAGTGGGTCTAGGGTTTCTGGGATAATGGCGTTGATGTGAGCCATGACCAGCCTTTCAAAGCACTTCATGGCTACAGACGTGAGTGCTACGGGTCTGTAGTCATTTAGGCAGGTTACCTTAGTGTTCTTGGGCACAGGGACTATGGTGGTCTGCTTGAAACATGTTGGTATTACAGATTCAGTCAGGGACAGGTTGAAAATGTCAGTGAAGACACTCACGTCCTGGTAATCCAGTTTGCAGTGTGATGGCGATTGTATCGTCTGTGCATCTATTGGGGCGGTAAGCAAATTGAAGTGGGTTTAGGGTGACAGGTAAGGTAGATGTGACATGTGGTCCACTGTAGCTCAATTGGTAGTGCATGGCACTTGTAACGCCAGGGTAGTGGGTTCGATCCCCGGGACCAGCCATACGTAAAAATGTATGCACACATGACTGTAAGTCACTTTGGATAAAAGCGTCTGCTAAATGGCATATTATTATATTATTATTATTATTATATGATCCTTGACTAGTCTCTCAAATCACTTCATGATGACAGAGGTGAGTGCTACGGGGCCATCTTGAAGCATGTGGGAACAGCAGACTGGGAAAGGGAGAGATTGAATATGTCCGTAAACACACCAGCCAGCTGGTCTGCACATGCTCTGAGGACGCAGCTCGGGATGCCGTCTGGGCCGGCAGCCTTGCGGGGGTTAACATGCTTAAATGTCTTACTCATGTCGGCAACGGAGAAGGAGAGGCCACAGTCCTTGGTAGTGGGCCTCGTCGGTGGCACTGTGTTATCCTCAAAGCGGGCGAAGAAGGTGTTTAGCTTGTCTGGAAGCGAGACGTCGGTGTCGGCGACGTGGCTGGCTTTCCTTTTGTAGTCCATGATTGTCTGTAGACCCTGCCACATACGTCTCGTGTCTGAGCCGTTGAATTGCGACTCCACTTTGTCTCTACACTAATGTTTTGCCAGTTTAATTGCCTTGCGGAGTGAGTAGCTACACTGTTTCTATTCTGCCATATTCCCAGTCACCTTGCCATGGTTAAATGCGGTGGTTCGCACACCTCCACCCTTCTGCTTCCCGGAGAGATATTTATTCCTGTCTGCGCGATGAATTGAGAACCCATCTGGCTGGACCGCTTTCGACAGAATATCCCCAGAGAGCCATGTTTCCATGAAACAAAGTATGTTACATACCTTGATGTCTCTCTGGAAAGAAATCATTGCCCAGAGTTCGTCGAGCTTGTTATCCAGAGACTGAACATTAGCGAGTAGTATACTTGGAAGCGGTGGGTGGTGTGCGCGCCTCCTAAGTCGAACCAGGCCACGTGGTCTTGTCGGGTGTCTGAAGTAAATCCTTTGTGTCCGACTTGTTGAAGAAAAAAATCTTCGTCCAATACGAGGTGAGTAATCACTGTCCTGATATCCAGAAGCTCTTTTCGGTCATAAGAGACGATGGCAGAAACATTATGTACAAAATAACTTACAAATAACGCAAGAAAACACACATAATAGCACAAATTGGTTAGGAGGGTGTAAAATGGCAGCCATCTCCTCCGGCGCCATTATATTATATGTGAAATAGTTGTTTTCACATGTTGAGCTGAAATGTTCATGTGAAAACAAAAGAGACATGTGAGGTCAGTCGTTTATATATGAAACCATATGTTCGTATGTATTACATTTAAAGTTCACATTTTAACACATGCTTTCACCTCACGTGAAAAAATGTTCATGTGAAAATCGAATGTACACTATCACGTGACAAATCTCACTCTCACATGTGGAATTTTCACTTTCACGGGTGAAAAACTTTCACATGTTAAAATCGAACTCAGATGTGGAATTGAATTTTCACATGTGAAAAACATTCACATGTAAAAAAAATATTTTGAGTTTAACAAGTGAAAAACTTGTCAATGTTGTCAAGTGCAGTTTCATGGTATCACGTCTACATTTTGCATCCCCTTGTTATCACATTTATTTACCGAGATCATGTTTTCACATGTGCTAAAATGTGTAGTTACATGTTATCACATTAACTTCACATAAGATCACACGTGATCACATGAAATTCATGTGGTTTTTCCGTAAGGGTTGTACATAATCTTGTGTAATTTGTTATCATATGAGTCTCATAATAGTTCATGAAAGCTTAGAAGTGGGACAAGTTCAATTCAGCACTGGAGCCAGTTAAATGATCTAAGAAATACATTCTGACATTTGTATAACTGCATACTTTAAGAATTATGGGTTTCATGTTGAGTTAAAACTTAAACCGGTCTGCTAGTGCAAATAAACCAAACTACTGGCACTGGGCTGTCATTTTGGTGTGTGTGTGTGTGTGTGTGTGTGTGTGTGTGTGTGTGTGTGTGTGTGTGTGTGTGTGTGTGCATGCACACTAGGCCCTGTGTGTGTAGACAGCAGGTCGAAATCATCATCTAAACCTCACAATAATAAGCAAGAAGTTAAACCTACGTAGCATTGACACATACAAAACCCCTTCAAATCCGCTGTTTACGATGGGGATTTATGTGAACATATCAATCAATCAATCAATTTTATTTTATATAGCCCTTCTTACATCAGCTAATATCTCGAAGTGCTGTACAGAAACCCAGCCTAAAACCCCAAACAGCTAGTAATGCAGGTGTAGAAGCACGGTTTTGCATACATATTGCATCGCGATATGAGATGGTGGCTCCCAGAGAGCACACTGCTTTTAGCCTATGCCTCCTGCTGCCCTCGCCATTCCCTGAAGATTTTTCTCTATCCCCCGTGACACCTTTCAGCACTTAACATCTGTATCATCAGACAGCCTGTACTGAGTGTGTGTGTTCTGCCTCTGTGTGTGTGTGTGTGTATGTGTGTGTGTTTGCTTTTCAATGAAACAAGGTGACAACAGTGCTGCTGTTTCTGCTGCAGAGGCCTGTGAGTATCTCACACAGTTGTGTATGTGTGCGGCCCTGCCTGTTGTAGTTAATTGCATCTTTACGGCTTGCGTCTCCAACTGTGAATGCTAATAGAATTGAATGCAAGCACCGACTGAGAGGGCTAATTTACCCTTTTAACATGCTGTGAAAAGTGTGATAAAGGCACTAGGACAGAACGACGTGCCAAAACAAAGAATGAAAACGAGAGAGAGAGAGAGAGAGAGAGAGAGAGAGAGAGAGAGAGAGAGAGAGAGAGAGAGAGAGTGTGTGTGTGTGAGATATGAAGTGACGTTTGCAGGTTGTATGTAAGCAGCATTCAGCACAACTCATTCTAACATCCACCTTTTGAAGTCTGTCACACTCAAAAGAGGACAAAACAGTTCTCCTTTGAGTGTGTGTTTGTGTGTGTGGGTCATGCGTGTGTGTGTGTGTGTGTGTATCCCTAGAGCTCTCCTCCCCAGAGTGTTGTGTGCAGCTAAGATGCTGCTGTGATGCAGAACAAATTAGATTTGGGCCTGCATGTGAGTTAGTGAAACAGTGCTGGATAGACAGTCCTTCACAATGAAACATCAACTCTTTGAGGTCTCTAACAGTATTAGTTACACAGCACTCATCTCAACTGTAGCTAGGATAAGAATGGACACTTTAGAGATATCATCTCTTATTGAAGTGAATTAAAGGACCTTTGAAAGCTTTATGAATATACCCCCAAAAATAATATTTACAGTTTCACAATAATAATGTTTTGTTGTGTGTGTGTGTGTGTGCGTTTGTGTTTGTGTTTGTGTGTGCATTTTGAATGCCTGCATGTGTTTACCTTTCTTCAGCTGGATATTAAGTCTCCGGCCTGTCTTCTTGAAGTAGCCTGCGGTAGGGTTGGCACTGACTCTCCTTTGCAGGGATGGAGAGGGGGCCGAGGACACGTTGTTGCTTCCGCTGTGAGGTAACGAGGTGGAGAAGTGGTGGTCTGGTACACGCTGTGGTAGAGGACAATGGTTCTGGTGTTTGGGGCTGGGGATGGGAATGGGGTGTGGTCTTGACCGGGAGGACATCCTCTGTGGGGTGTGTTCCAACCCCATCCCCCCCTGGACCACCAGACTACCCCTTTCCCCGGGCTGCGGGGCCTGGGGGTCCGAGGCCTGGCTGGAGCTGAAGCTTTCCCGGTTACCCCTCTCCCCCCTCGGACATGGGGGGCTGAGCTCCCCCTGGGAGAGCTGCTCATACTGGCTCTTCATGGAGGCCGGGACCACGTGGAACAGAATGACAGGAGAACGCATGGCCTGCCTGAACATGTTCTGTGCTCTGGAGTAGAGAGGAGAGGAGTCAGCAACACACATCATTACATTAGCGAGGGCTTGATAAGAAAATGAGCTAATGCAGTTGTATCAGTGTACTAAAACAGATAGAGAGAGGTCATATAGAAGAAGAGAAGTGGAGAAGAGGCAGCATACAAATCATTATATTAGCTATAGCTTGATAAGAACACAAGGTAATGTACAGTATGATATGGCAGCTTACTGATACAGACAGAGAGAGAAGCTACAGAGAAGTAAAGAGGGGAGGTCAACGTGGATAATCAGAGGCTAATAGTAGTGAATCACTGGAGAAAAGGCTAACTCAGAGATTACATTAGCTAGATACTGTTTGTGCCGTGTCAATGACAGCATAGTCTCAGGAGGAGGACGTGATCAGCTTTAGCATTGGTAGGGTGAGACGTTGAACTACAATGAGATTCAGCCAGTCAACATTATACATTCAAATATCTATCAAATCATGTTGTGTGTGTGTGTGTGTGTGTGTGTGTGTGTGTGTGTGTGTGTGTGTGTGTGTGTGTGTGTGTGTGTGTATGGAAAGGGGTTATGGGTGAGGCCACTGTTCACTAGACAGTAAAATGATAAAACAACAAGGAATACAATGGGAGACATGCAGTAAACACAACAAAGACGGCACACATACAAAGACGTTTATTTTATACGGAATGGACAAACTCCTGTATTAGTTTGGAACCAAATAAGAAAAGCTGCTTTTTTTCTCATTCTGATGCTGCATTGTTTTGTCCTGAGCTCAGATGCCACTTAGCATATAGATAGTCTGGCCTGGAGTGGCCCTGTCGGTCCCACGGCATAAGAGGATAAGGGCCTTCAGAGGGGGTGTGTGTGTTTGTACGCGTGCATGTGTGCATGTGTGTGTGTGTGTAGCGTAGCAGAGGATGATGTGATAGACAACAATCCCCCGCGCGTTCCCAGCCTCTCCATTATCACGCCCATGATACCGCATTGAACCCGTCCAAATGAGTTATTGACAATCGCTAAGCCGCTTCCGCCATTATAAACAGCACTTCACCTCAGCGCGGAGCGGAGTGTGCCGAGACACTTATTTCGGTTTTGGTCCTTCATTCTTATGTTAATTTCTCCCTCAAATCATGTGAACTGCAGCAGCCTACGGTGGGTAATGAGAGGCACAGTGACACTCCAGTAATCAGACGATGAGGAGACGAGCAGCTCAGCTTTCTGATTGAATAATAAATTACCCCATCAATGCATCATTACATTTAGTTAGATTAACCGCTTCTAAATATTTATCCATGCAAAACAATCCAATAAGATTATAATATCACTTTGAATTATCTCTGTATGGTGCAGTGCACAATCAAGGAGAGTAGAGAGAGAGAGAGATTGTAAAAAGTGATTTACTTTGCCACTAATTTCCTATAGAATCATATCGTGGTACGGTGCGTTCACGTTGGTGATTGCCGGTGAGAGCTGTGAGCCGTGTGTATGTGGAGCGATAGAAAACATTGCTCCCTTGTGGATTTGGTTTGCAAAACACACATAAGCCTCTTTCACAGCAGAGAGGCCTGGGAGGTACTGTGGATGTTTACCAATGACAAGTCCTGCACAGTATTTACTATTGCCAAACACTTCAGTGGCTTGCCAAGTCTAGATGAATGAATGAACAATGTAGCTAGCTAAGTAGGTACAATAGTTTTGAGTTTTGAAGGCTGGGCCAGGTTATAACTGCTGCCAAACTTGGTCACAAAGTGAATTTAGAAAATGTGAATATGCTTTATTATAAAGATATCATCTAACAGAACTAGGCCATAAGGGAAAGGTACTGTATGTTTGATGACCAGTGTATTAATGCTCTACTACAACATACAGTGGGGGGAAAAAGTATTTAGTCAGCCACCAATTGTGCAAGTTCTCCCACTTAAAAAGATGAGAGAGGCCTGTAATTTTCATCATAGGTACACGTCAACTATGACAGACAAATTGAGAAAAGAAAATCACATTGTAGGATTTTTTAATGAATTTATTTGCAAATTATGGTGGAAAATAAGTATTTGGTCACCTACAAACAAGCAAGATTTCTGGCTCTCACAGACCTGTAACTTCTTCTTTAAGAGGCTCCTCTGTCCTCCACTCGTTACCTGTATTAATGGCACCTGTTTGAACTTGTTATCAGTATAAAAGACACCTGTCCACAACCTCAAACAGTCACACTCCAAACTCCACTATGGCCAAGACCAAAGAGCTGTCAAAGGACACCAGAAACAAAATTGTAGACCTGCACCAGGCTGGGAAGACTGAATCTGCAATAGTTAAGCAGCTTGGTTTGAAGAAATCAACTGTGGGAGCAATTATTAGGAAATGGAAGACATACAAGACCACTGATAATCTCCCTCGATCTAGGGCTCCACGCAAGATCTCACCCCGTGGGGTCAAAATGATCAAAAATGAGCAAAAATCCCAGTACCACACGGGGGGACCTAGTGAATGACCTGCAGAGAGCTGGGACCAAAGTAACAAAGCCTACCATCAGTAACACACTACGCCGCCAGGGACTCAAATCCTGCAGTGCCAGACGTGTCCCCCTGCTTAAGCCAGTACATGTCCAGGCCCGTCTGAAGTTTGCTAGAGTGCATTTGGATGATCCAGAAGAGGATTGGGAGAATGTCATATGGTCAGATGAAACCAAAATAGAACTTTTTGGTAAAAACTCAACTCGTCGTGTTTGGAGGACAAAGAATGCTGAGTTGCATCCAAAGAACACCATACCTACTGTGAAGCATGTGGGTGAAAACATCATGATTTGGGGCTGTTTTTCTGCAAAGGGACCAGGACGACTGATCCGTGTAAAGGAAAGAATGAATGGGGCCTTGTATCGTGAGATTTTGAGTGAAAACCTCCTTCCATCAGCAAGGGCATTGAAGATGAAACGTGGCTGGGTCTTTCAGCATGACAATGATCCCAAACACACCGCCCGGGCAACGAAGGAGTGGCTTCGTAAGAAGCATTTCAAGGTCCTGGAGTGGCCTAGCCAGTCTCCAGATCTCAACCCCATAGAAAATCTTTGGAGGGAGTTGAAAGTCCGTGTTGCCCAGCGACAGCCCCAAAACATCACTGCTCTAGAGGAGATCTTTATGGAGGAATGGGCCAAAATACCAGCAACAGTGTGTGAAAACCTTGTGAAGACTTACAGAAAATGTTTGACCTGTGTCATTGCCAACAAAGGGTATATAACAAAGTATTAAGAAACTTTTGTTATTGACCAAATACTTATTTTCCACCATAATTTGCAAATAAATTCATTAAAAATCCTACAATGTGATTTTCTGGATTATTTTTTCTCATTTTGTCTGTCATAGTTGACGTGTACCTATGATGAAAATTATAGGCCTCTCTCATCTTTTTAAGTGGGAGAACTTGCACAATTGGTGGCTGACTAAATACTTTTTTCCCCCACTGTACCTATAGTGTCCCCTCCACATGTACTCTCTGTATAGCCTAAAGCCAGGCAGACCCTACCACATCCCCAGATACCCCATCAGGCCTCACCCTAAGACAGCTAAATGTGAATCCTGAAAGCTCCATCCTAGTCAGCACTAAACCAGGCAGGAGCTCTTCCTAATGGGGAGGATTTTAGCCAGGGCAACCTCCCTTCCTCCACATCCTGGCTCTGGGTCAGGGTCTGGACAAAATGCAATCTATTTCTCATCTCTGGAAAAGACAGCACCGATATGACTCTAAAGCTGTGTTAGTGTGTGTGTGTGTGTGTGTGTGTGTGTGTGTGTGCCTCCCCTCCTAGCAATGGCCTTGCATCTTCATTCCACTTTAGGAAATGAAAAGTAGCAATAAATCAATAGAACAGAGGAAGGTGAGGCTCGGGCGCAAAGGTATATTAAGGTTGGTAAGCTCAGAGGAGTAGAGGCGCTTATCAAGGACTATAGGTCATCATGTGGTCTTTATAGAGGATCACTGAGGGCACAACTATCACATTTCAAATAGTCTTCCAACTGTATCTGACTCATAATGCTTAAAGTACAATGTATTACTGTACATTTTGGAGAGAGAAAGCAAGAGAGACAAAGGCAGAGAGAAAAAAGCTCGCAAAATATATGTTTAAGAAAGTTAAGAGGTAATGTCAGGTAAATGTTGAATATGTCCCATCTCTGTCAAGACAGAGGTGAGGTCGGGGGGGCTTACTGTTCAAATCGGATGCTCCTCAGATCCCCATTATTAATCTTGACGACACAGTCGTTCTCCTGGAACAGACCTTCCTGCTCCGCCTTGCCCCCGTGCTCCAGACGCTTCACTAACAACCCCAGGGTCCTGGAACAACGGTACACACGTTACACACCCTCCACACACACAGGTAAAACACACTCTACACACGCGTCACAGACATTACACACACTCATGTTGCACACACCTTACAGACGTTACACTTACTCCACACACACATGTAACACGCTCTACACACATTACAGACACTTTATACACCAGGTAAACCACACGATAAAGTATACACACACCAGGTCTAAGACTTTTCACAGAACAATTCTTATCCGTTTAACGCAAACAACTAGTAATTGTCCTCTGCATCCCTTTAATTGAGAATAGGGAATTCATTAGAAAGATTGTCATGTAAAGAAAAGTCAAAAGAGACAGGAAGATAAGTAATGGAAAGTCGAAGGAAGGGTTGTGAAGATATGCACAGAACACATAATTACTGTAGAAACACTGAATAGTAACTATTACTGTAGAAACCCTGAATAGTAACTATTACTGTAGAAACCCTGAATAGTAACTATTACTGTAGAAACACTGAATATTAACTATTACCGTAGAAACCCTGAATAGTAACTATTACTGTAGAAACACTGAATAGTAACTATTACTGTAGAAACACTGAATAGTAACTATTACTGTAGAAACACTGAATAGTAACTATTACTGTAGAAACCCTGAATAGTAACTATTACTGTAGAAACACTGAATAGTAACTATTACTGTAGAAACCCTGAATAGTAACTATTACTGTAGAAACACTGAATATTAACTATTACCGTAGAAACCCTGAATAGTAACTATTACTGTAGAAACACTGAATAGTATCTATTACCGTATAAACCCTGAATAGTAACTATTACTGTAGAAGCACTGAATAGTAACTATTACTGTAGAAACACTGAATAGTAATTATTACTGTAGAAACACTTAATAGTAACTATTACTGTAGAAACACTGCATAGTAACTCTGTCAAGGGATCTTCATCAAATACCTACCTCAGTATCTCCAAATCAATATCATAAATCAGATAGATTATTGACACCAAAACTAACTTCCTAAACTTTAGCCATGATGAGGCAGGTTGACATATGCTATTTTCTCTCTTCCCATAAATGCTGTGGTGTGTAATATTGAGCTGTCCCTTCTCCCTGTGAAAGACATCTAAGTGCTAATCCTGGTCTTCAGACTAGTGATGGTTTTATGGCTTCAGTGACGCTGTCTGTCTGTCTGTCTGTCTGTCTGTCTGTCTGTCTGTCTGTCTGTCTGTCTGGGCTTAAAAAGTGAGCAGGCAGCATTGTTATAAATACACGTGCACACACACCCACAGGCACGCGCACACACACACACACACACACACACACACACACACACACACACACACACACACACACACACACACACACACACAAATGCACAGCCTGCCATCTCAGCAATCCCCTCCAAGCTCCACAATCTTTACCTTCAAACCCTGATGCAGTAAATAAATACATCAGAAAGCAGCTTGGGGTTTTAGCTCTCTCTCGCCCTCCGGATCACCGCGCTACCACAGACGTGTAAAGAGATCTGATAGATGCACAGACAGCAAAACCATAACTCCTGTTTCAAAGGACCAGGAGAAGCTGCAGGTATACTGTGTGCACTCAGACACTGTTGTTGCCACTTCTGATGGGAAGTTTTAAGACTTTAAGGCTCCTGAGACTCAAGTAAGGTAAAAACTTCTTCAGGGAGAGAAAAGAGATTTAATATTAAGTGGGATTTATTTCTGACTGATATTTTGGATGGGATTTCTGATAGGGCTAGAGGGGGTTTACATAAGCAGACAAGGACACTAGGAGGTGAAAAACGGACAATTTTCTCTGTATTTTATTAGATACGTAAACAAAAACAACAACCATTCCTCTCGCAAAGAAAAAGAAGAAAAAAAGTCATTTTCTTCCAGACGAGCGAGGCTAAATTCACGGAGCTGTTTAGCATTTCAGCCGAAAGGGGCACACTGCAGCAGCCACTAGCCGCCTCAGCTCATTAGTTTCATTGGCTGTATAACATGGGCATGCTCACTCACCACCACAAACTCATCTCCCTCCTCAATGGGGGTAAATGGCACATTACTAAGTTAGAATTAAGTGGTACAAAAGGCCTTTGTCCACCACACGGCAGGCGAGCAGACTAAGCAGGCTGAGGCTTCATAAATTGGATGATAGAGTGGTGGGGAGAGGAGCATAGAGTCAATATAGACTAGCTAGGTGGTGTGGAAGCAAGACAATGGATGCATCCCAAAAGGCACCTTTATAGTGCACTACTTTTGACCAGGGCCCATAGGGAAGAGTTTGAGACGCAGCCTATCTAGTATAGCAACTGATCTTAGATCAGTGTTTTACTGGTGTTCAAGGGCTTTATATTGAACCCAGATGGAGTTGATACTGATTAGCAATCTGTATTCAGTACAGTGTCTAATAATTGGGCATAAAATGGGGCTTCTTAGTGATTTCATCACCATTAATAAAGGTGCCCTCATTCTTAATGAAAAATGCATTAGCACACTTTCAGATCTGTCTCTCTCATATGCTACTGGACATTTGCTAAGGTGCTTATCACTCACTCCATTCAAACTAGAAGACTTTATTTAAGATGTATTGAGCCTTCTACCAGTATATTAACTTTCGGTAATTCCCGGATTTCCTGCTTATTCCCTCCTGGAAAATCTGGGAATTTTAGAAAAGTTGTCAGAATTTTACAACTCTACAGGCGAGTCCCTCCCTTCGTCAGCTCCTATGCAGAAGCTTTGCCTGTTGATTGAGAGATAGTTGAGGAGTTGAGCTGAGGAGACTGAGCGACAGAGACCACCTGTTCCATCTATTGACTTTAATTGAATAATAATGCAATCAGGATCCATTTACGCAGCGCAATTATGTCTGACTCTTGTTTACAGTTCACAGTGGTCACAGAAGGAGATCTCATTATTGAAATGGTGGCGGTGTCGCATCTGCGAGAGAGAGAGAGTGTGTCTCTCCCCTATCCACGTCCCTCTCTCCCCTGCAGCTGCAAAGAACCAGTGGCTGCTGTGCTAGCATCGTCGTGACAGCAGACACTTTGAGTGTTCCGTCTGGGCCGGACGTCTGACCCTGCTCGTCTAGACGGTAATGAGACAGCCCTCGGCAGCTAATGCCTGATGTCCTGGAGGAAGAGCTGAGCAGGCCATTAACATCATCTGACTAAACAGTCTCTGTCACGTTATCTAGTTTGGGACGTAATTGAAGGATCTGATGAGGAAACAGTATGGATGGGACCATACGGAATAATATGTTGCAACATTGTCAGACAGTGGCCATTTCCAAAGGCCAAAATCAAAGGACCACTTTGATAGAGGAAGCAGAAAAAAAAAAAACAGTTTAAGCCAGTTTGTCAGGAGGCTTTATCCAATATCAAAATCATTGATGTTTATAGTCATTCAATCATATTGTTTATTTTATTTCTAATATCTAATATCAATATTTCATCTTCCTTTTCTGAGCCAAAGCTAAGGCAGTATACTGTAAGAATCAGATGCTCAATTCTCAAAGGTCAAGCCTATTTCTAGTTCAACAACATTATGCCAGTTTCTCAGGAACGTCAATAGAATCAAAGTCCTGAGTGAGTTATCTTAATGAAATGACAACAGCAACCTTCAATGGTACAGTCCCACATGATATCCCATATAATTTCTTCCATCAGTGTTTTCACCTCTTTCCTTAGTGTTCCTTCCACTGTATGACTGTGTCCGATATGGCACCCTATTCCCTATATAGTGCACTACTTTTAGCCCTATGGGCCATTTGGGACACATCCGTATGTTACCCTGACCTTGGGGGTGTGCGCTGTGCCAATCCATTGGCGTACATGTAGGACCCATGTTATAAATGAGCTTTTAGTTTGATTGCATTGCCCAGTTCCTGCTGATTGTGAATAACTATAAACTCTGATATATTCAGCATCATGCTCGTCATCACTATTCTTCACAGAGGAGGGTAAAACGCCTAAATAGATACAGTAGCCAGAACAATTTATTTCTCACCTAATAAGTCACCTTCAAACCAGAGGACATCTGAAGTCCATCGTGTCCCGTGGATATAACTCGGAACATAGAACTCACAATAAAAGAAATGTGGAGAACAGACTGTACAGCCTCCAGTCAAGAACAAACCACTTTTATCCTTTCCTTTTTAATGTTCCTTGTCTCCTTGGAGCTGTAAAATAGCACTCACATTGGTAAGGGACAAGAGTTCCAGAAATGGAAAACACAAAAGGAAGAAGAAAGATTAAAAAAGAGGCCAAGAAACATCACAGTCACTCACAATGACAGCCGTGAGCGACAGAGATGGAGAGAGAGAGAGAGATCGGGTGAAAGAATGGACAGAGAGAGATACAGAGCGAGTGAGAGCATCAAACTGAACAAAAGGATGCAGCGGACAGATCGGGACAGGGGGCTAGCCTAGTAGCAGTACTGTAGTCTTTTCATACTGGGACAGGGAAGCTGGGCGCTAATAAGTCTAGCAGTGGCTAATAGAAGTACTGGGATCATTAAGCTTCTCAGAGTAGGAATACTGATCTAGGATCAGTTTTGCCTTTTAGATCATAATGAATACAGTTATATGGACAGGTGGGACCTGATCCTAGATCAGCACTCAGTTTTACCTTCTGTCCGTGGCACTGAAAGGCACAACGTGGATCCCCAGAGGCCCGCCGACATTGGACACCTCTACCAGCTTTAGCATGTCACTGTGGGACAATGATGGATGAGGCAGGGGGTGAGAGGGACGGAGGGAGCAACGCATGCGTGAAATATAAACAGAACCAGAAAAAATTGAGAATAACACAAAACAACAGGATAACATGACAGGTCTGCGAATGGAGCCTCTATCTAGCAGCTAGGGACATGTTACTGCAGTCACTCACTGTCCCAGTCCCAAATGACACCATATTCCCTTTGTAGTGCACTACTTTTGACCAAGGCCCATAGTGGACAATATAGGAAATAGGGTGCCATTTCGGATACAGTCCCTGTAGAGACTGGCTTTGGCTCAGCTAGGCCTCTTCTCTCATAAAGCCATCCATTATACAGTCAGGCTGAGGAACCAGAGGTCGATTAAAGACCCAAATGGAGACCCCAATTAAGTGATTAAGATCAGGTCTTTGTGGGTTCTGCAGTAAAACTAGAATTGGAAATGTGGAGGGATGCTTCAGCCCTGCAAATAAAGCTGCGAGTGCATACGAGGGAGTCACATTAACAATAGTTAAATAATACATGGAAAATCACATGTTGATGATGATGTTGATGATGATGATGATGATGATGATTATGATGATGGATACATGCACTGAGTGTAAGGTGGTCTTTGAAAATGAGTCTGTAGTGTACTGTAACTATGTTATAATGGTGTATATATTGAGTATAGAACATCTGATTCATGGACACCACCATGTTATTGAGTACTGAGATGAGTGAATCTATATGGTATGCCTGTCATAAGAAGTGGTTATATTACAGGAAGAGAGACAGTTGGGTGAGTCCATTCCTACCAGGAGGATGGGGGTGTCTAGTGCACTTACTCCAGAGATAACTTTGGGAAGTGTTCCACACAGGAGTCTGCTCTCCCCACCGGCTCTATCCTCCCATTCCTCTCTTCCTCCTTCACTCTCTCCTCTTCCTCCGCCTCCTCCTTGACAGACACAAAGAGAGAGAGAGAGAGAGAGAGAGAGAGAGAGGACAGACAGACAGACAGACAGACAGAGAGAGAGAGACAGACAGACAGAGAACAAGGTGACACAGGGAACATCAAAGACTATACAGCTCTGGTGGTGACCTAAGCTGTCCTACTGTCTGGGTCTCTGCGTCTCATCTCTTCTTTCCTCCCTTCTTTTTAATCCAATTACCTGAGAAGGAGAGTAATGGTCTCTGTTTTAGTGTTGGAAATCTCTCTCTCTCTCTCTCTCTCTCTCTCTCTCTCTCTCTCTCTCTCTCTCTCTCCTCTCTCTCTCTCTCTCTCTCTCTCTGCAGCATCAGACAGAGGACAGCCAAGCAACACTGAAGTGGCCATAATCGATTACTCATACTCAATCAATCTGGATGGGGGGATGGGAAGAGGAGAGGAGGTGGGGGTTTGCCAGGTTCTTACAGTAATCTGATAAAGCGACGGGAGGATGAGACACAGGCCATTTGTTTCTTTCACTTTCCCTCTCTCCATTTCATTTACCCTTCTCTCTCTTCTTCAGTCAGGGCCATTAGACATTATACCTCTCTGTCTCTCTGTTTACAGACATACTTAATATCAGACAGCTGGGGACCTTAGCGTCCTCTGTGAGAAACAGGAAGTTCTTATACTGAATTAAAGAGATACAGTCATTGTATTCATGATATATGCAGATAACAATGTAGTATTTTTACAGTGGTAGTACCAAAACAAATCTCATAACATTTATCCACAGCTGATTCATACAGTATTGTGAGTGTAATCGTGATATTTAGATCAAGAAGGTAGGTGGAAATTCGGTCTAATTTGAGCCCAACCTCTCTTTGATATAATAATGACATTTCTGGGGGGTGAGGTTAGTATGTCTAGACACTTAGCAGAGAGGGAGGAGGAGACCTGGTTTGTTAGCCACTGATATTAATATGCCGACTGCCTCATCCCTCACCTTCCCTCCTCGCTGAAATGTCAAGCACATCTAAATAACCGCTCTGCTCTGCTCTCTCGCTTTCTCTCACTCTCTTTTTATGGAAATACATTCAGCCCTTTCAAACTGTGAACCGCTGCGACACGGGAGGGTTTTAGAGGGGGTACTGGGGCCCGTCGGGAGACTCTTATTCTTATTTATATATTTCCGAAGGTGAATAGAGACTGACACGGGGTCATGACAATTTAATCAGAATACATACAGAATCCTGCTGCCTAGCAGCTGCTGTTTCCTCTATTAGGTGTTTCTATGAAAATGAGTCAATCACCTTTGTCCCCCACGCAAGGCCCCGACTCTGCTGTTTTTAATTATACGTCATGGCAGGTCTCAAGTGCCTCCTTGCTTTTATTCATATGCTTTGTATTGGAAAACCAGGGGGGATACTGGCATAATGTACAGTGGGGCCTCAATGGACCTGGCAACCCAAGGAGACCTGGTAACCCGTGGAATGCTTATATAAAAAATAAACAGAGGACTGAAGGATAATATAATGGTGGAGGTGAAGGGAAAAGAAGGGAAGGAAGCATGTGATAATGGAAAAATAAATACAATCAGATATCCAGAATTTGAATACATTGACTGAGGAAGAGAAAGGGAAAAATATTCTAAAAGTCCTAAAAAAAGCCAGATAATTTGCATAGAGCATGTATGCAAGGGAAGATGAATGGCGGAGCACTCTTTGCTTGTTGCCTTTGACAATAGGGTTTAGATGGCTGGGTTGAAGCCGAGGAAGAGGTGGTGATTCACATTTATCATTACTGACACTGACAAGTAATTAACTCCCATAACAGTTGCTCTCGGTGACAAGCCTAAGCCTTGCTGTTTGTTGAGTGACAATTTTGGATGACATGAATGCATCTCTGCTCCCGAGAATCTCTATTCAGTGGAATGGGAGACCTGTCGAGCTGAGGCTGAGCTAAGCGGTAGAGGTGGAGGAGTGGAGTGGATGACTGGAGGAGAGGAGGAGTGGAGGAGAGAGCGAGATTTCAGTGTTTAGAGCTCATTGGTACACAGAGGTGAGGAGAGGTTTCTATCCAGGATTCACAACAGAGATAGGTAGCAAGATACTGTAGTATTTTTTATTATTTTTTTAAGACGTGTTTTTGGGGACTGTTTTGGCCATTAATGTAGTATTTAAGAAAAGAAAAAGTTGATAATACTGTAGTATTTACTATAGTATACTACAACATTCTATAGTAAGTACTACACATGATCGAGGGATACTACAGTGTGTAGTATAGTATTCTACAGTATACTACAGTTTACTACAGAATGATATAGTAAGTACTGTAGTATTCTATAGTAAAGTGCAGTATTTTTTTCATGTGGAGGGAGCGAGGGAGACAAAGAGTGGGAGAGAGAAATACAAAAGAGAGAGAGTGAAAGAAATAAGCGAGAGAGCAAGCGAGATAGAGATATAGTAAGGTAGATATAGCAGTCCCTTAAGGGATAACTGGTGACTTTGACATCCCTGATGGACTGATTGACTGAGTGACTCGGAAGCAGTGGGTGTCACTCTCCTCTTGTCACCAAGGGCAGAAAGAGAGCCTTACACAGGCTGCCAGCCCTGCTCTATTGTCCATCTGTCTCTCTCTCTGTCTCGTTGCCAGTGCTAAGCACTTAGCAACAGGAGAGGTGAGCCACTAGCTAACGAGACACATCTCTCTCTCTCTCTCTCTCTCTCTCTCTCTCTCTCTCTCTCTCTCTCTCTCTCTCTCTCTCTCTCTCTCTCTCTCTCTCTCTCTCTCTCTCTCTCTCTCTCTCTCTCTCTCTCTCTCTCTCTCTGTTTTAACTTTATAGGTCTATTACAATGAAGTAAAGCTTGTGCCTTCAATGATGTAACTATTGGGCCAAAAAAGGTATTTTAAAAATCAATCTCTTTCTCTCTTTCTCCATCCCATTCCCCTGACTATAGTTGGCCGGACAATGCCTTCCTTCCTGATCAGACGGGAAGTAGCTCTGCAGCGTTTCACCTCTCTCTGCACCTCACTTTAGGCCCTGTCTATGTAGTGCAGAGTCAGACATGGTGGAGTGGAGGGGCCAGAGAGCACATCTCTCAACATGTGGGGCTGGGATGGCTGTGTGCTGTGCGGGCATGGTGCTGGGTCAGGGCCAACTGCCTCTCCAACAATGATAGGAAGCACAGGGTTAGGAGCCTGGCGGTTAGACAGCCAGTGCATTAGAATATTGAAGCAGATATGAAACTTGGCTTGGCAGCCAAACGGGGAGAGAGTAGAGGGAGGGACTTTAAATTGCAGAGTGCCGTGGTGAGAGAGTGGACAGGGGGAATGAGGAGGACAAGGGGTGGAGCTGCTGGATGCAGGACTAGCTACCTGCCGGGTTCACGGATAGACCCTGAAACACACACGTCGACGCATACGCAAACATACATTGTCTGCTCGCTGGAGGGTTGGGGCTATGGGTGTGCGCTGAAGAACCTTCCATCAGAACCCATCCTGAAGGTGTGTGTGTGTGTGTGTGTGCGTGTGTCCATGTGTGTTTGTGACAGCTTAATGTGGTCAACACACCATCATCTCTGACAATGTCACATACTTCATCACAATGGCTGCCAGTGAAGAAGTAGCTACAATACAATGAAGGCTAAATGCCATGCTATTTAAATACTGTATAACAAGCCGGTGGCAAATGTGCCACAGAAAATACAGGAAAACAAGCAATTTAACATGGCCATTAGGCACTGCTAAAGCATACAGAAGACTTCTCTCATAGTTGTGGTTTAAAAATATATCACAGTAATTACACTAGGTGAAGAAAAAAGTAATAGCCATAAAAATAAACACTGGAATGGCTAAGTGTAACAAACTCTTTGACGTGTGAAAAGAAATCCATATTATGATGTTGAAATGAGGAAGGGGGAGAGGGTGGAGGGAGGGTGGAGGGAGGCTTTCCTCTCATTCACAAAGGTCAAGGCCAATAATTGCATCCTCATTACATGATTGAGCTAATGTGGTTACAGTGCAGTCCTAGAGACAGAGACAAATGAAACCATACAATACACCGACACCATGTCTGGCATAGCATGATAGAGTGGACATTGCTTCTCTAGACACCATAATGCAAGGACAAATACAGTATAGCTACAGTAGAGAGACACAGCTAGTAAAGGCTTCATAAAGCCTTTAAATCAGGGTCAATTCAAATTTAAGTTAAATTCAAATTCAATAACTGAAAAAATACAGTATGTTCAATAATTTCTCAATAAACTGAAAAGAAACATTCCATTTCAGAATTTTAACTTCAAATCCCTTCCTGAATTTTAATTGACAAGTACAGTGAAATGTTTAACTTGCAAGCCCTCCCCAACAGTGCAGTAATCAATATCAAAATAGCATAACAAAACAAAACAAAAAACTATATAGACTAAATTCGAGCCACACACAAAGTTCTCATTGTAACTGTATGAGTTCAGTTATTTTCAACTAGAGTGACCATATACATAATGTAAGACTGCCCTCCCTGGACAAAAGATAAATGTGAATTTCAATAATTAATATCCTTTTAAACCTCTGGGTCTGACCAGAGAGCATTCCTTCCTAACCTGACTGTTATTGATGAGTCTCCGTCCGCTTTAGATTTTGTTATTGACTCAGTGATTGATTTAAGCCCTTATAATTAGCTGTCCCTAATTGAATTAATGTTCAATTTAACAATACAGCAGCCCAGAGCAGAGGGAAGCTGTGTCATTGATAGATCTGCCTGGACTCATGGTTGGCAGATGATGTACTCGAACACAGATGCAATTCATTGACTGAGAGGAGAAGAAGGAAGAAACTAACTAGCCCCTCCGGTCCAGTTCTCCAAATGCCAGTCTTGTCTGCAACACACAACACACCCTTTCAGACTGATGTGGACAAATGCGACCCAGGTAGGCTCACATCTCTGATTTAATTTGCTTAATAGCATTAAGAACCTGTTTGGGCTTTAATTTGCCTAAAGTATATCCACGTCATACGGAATGCAAACTTGTATAAGCTATTAGCTGTGTGTCTTAAAAACAAAGGCAGACAGGGAGATTTAAAGGTTTGATGTCTTTGTTGATTAAAAGGGGAGAAAACTATATCAACTTGACAAGAAATAGAACCAGGGGCAAATGTGAAGTTTACGACATCTGAGATTCAGTGCCAGGAAAAGAGATTTCATTAGCCAGTAATGGAGCTTGGTGTGTTTCCTAACTGCATTATGGGTAGCTGATTCCTGCACCCCTGTTGGCATCTCTGCTGACCCCTGATTGGCTGAAGCCTCTTCTCCTGGACTGATGATTAAGAACATCCATATTGGATATAGTTTATCAAAAGGATTGGTACATCTAATCCCTACTTGGCAACGGGGAGTCAGTCCTCTGCTTTGAACATGGCCCCAGTCCTGAGTCCATGGGTTCTGAGTCAGTAGAATCAGAGAGTAGAACACATGTCCTCATCAGAGAGTTCGCCTCTGTGTTTCTCCCCATCGGCAGAGACACGGACAGCCGGCCCACACAGAGTTACTCTACTGTCATTTCTATCCAGTGTGTGTGTGTGTGTGTTGTGTGTGTGAAGCTCTCTCTGCAGAACTGGAATCTAATAATTGCCTCACTAGATGCTGTGCTAGACAGAATATAGATGCTGTACATTAGAGTTGTATTGGAGGCCTACTACTGTAGCAATACAAGTGTTCTGCTTCCGCCCTGGGGCCTCTCCTGTTGGGTATGACTTTGACCTCAGCTCTCAGCAAATGAATGAAACGGGTTAATCCTATTTTATTTTTAAGGATTTATACACTGTTCTTGGTCCTCTGAAGAGTTATCAATGGTGTGGCTCTATTTAGAGGCCTTAGTAATTGCAATGGCTGCATTTCTTTCCCTTGCCTGACAAACTGCATGGCATGAATGGAAATTGTATGTGGCTTTCCTCTTGTTGAGTTCTTAGTTGTTCATCAACACGATGAATCATCTGAAATGCACATGTATTATTATCACATATGGAAATGATCATACATTGATGATAAACTGTATGAAATGCTCATAGACAGTATGGTTTATACCTTCATACTCACCCACCATTACTGCCACAGAGAAAAAGTGAGTAGCAACGTGAATTACATTATCAGGACCGTCTCAGTGTCCACATAATGACGTTATCTCTGGTTTCTGCCCTTTTAACATTCCTTAAACCTAACATAAATGTAAATAACTGTCTATAACTGTCTGATAACTCGGGCCGGTTGATGCATAGGCTGTGTTAATAGGGTAGTTAAGATGGCTGATTCAAATGACCTGATGACTCTGAGGGAAGAGGGGTTAATGACAGGGGAGCAACAATCACATCCAATCTAATCACTGAGATGTTTTGGGGGTCTTATTTGGGATAATGGCAGTTAGCTCTGAGGGGCGGGTGACAGGGGAAGGAGAATGGACTTTTGTAGAGTTTCACATTTGACTGGGTTTTGAGGAGGTCAACTTGTTTTGGAATCAACAGATTGTTGGCATTTCCTCAACTTGGCCTTATGGTCAAGGGACAATACTGAAAAATTTATGCACTCACTAACTGTAAGTCACTCTGGATAAGAGCGTCTGCTAAATGACTAAAATGTAAAATGTAAATGGAACAGCAACTTTTAGACGGATATTATCCTTTTCTCTAGCATCTGAGGCTGTGTACCAAATGGCACACTTTGCCCTATGGGCCCTGGTCAAAAGTAGTGCACTACATAGGGATTTGCCATTTGGGATGCACACTGTCCCTTACTTGATTAAGTAAGGTGAGGTGTGTCTGTGTCTCCACTCATAATCTCTAGGTTGAGTGTATGTGAACTGTGAAGCTGAAAGGATGAGTGTCAGGCTTGGTCTTGAACTGAGCATTAACTGGGGCATGTGGTACGTTTAAGCAATAAGGCACCTCAAGGGTTTGTGGTATATGGCCAATATACCATGGCTAAGGGCAGGTTCTTAGGCATGATGCAACGCCCTTAGCCGTGGTATACTGGCCATATACCACAAACCCCTGAGGTGCCTTATTGCTATTATAAACTGGTTAACAACGTAATTAGAGCAGTAAAAAGAAATGTTCTGTCATACCTGTGGTATACGGTCTGATATACCACGGCTTTCAGCCAATTGTCACGGATTCAGCCGAGGCTGCTCCTCCTCCTTGCTCGGGCAGGCTTCGGCGTTCGTTGTCACCGGAGTACTAGCTGCTGCCGATCTATGGTTCTGTGTTCTACTTGTCTTGTCTTTATTTTTCACACCTGGTTCCCATTAGGTATTGATTACTTCCCTATTTAACCCTCTGGCTCCCACTGTATGTTGTGCGTGTTTGTTCATGTTTGGTTGTCGGCTGGTGAGCGGGTTTGTTTCCTCCCTGCGTGGAGGTTATGTTATTTAGATTAGGTTAGCGATTAGCTCTGTGTCCTGCGCCTGACTTCGTCCTACCGCATCACACTGACATCCTGACACCAATCAGCATTCAAGGCTCGAACCATCCAGTTTATAATAAGCATTAACTCAACTCTAAAGTTATAACTGAGCTCTACATGAACTGAACTATGTGGTTCTTTTCACATGAACTGAGCTCTGTGGTACTTTTAG